CCTTACCCTCACAAGTCACTGCAATTACAGGCATATGCCACCCAAAAATCTTTACCTAATAAATTCAATGTCTAGGCTTCCTTAAGGATGGGTTCTGCCAATTAGTGGGGCCATATTCTATTTCTCTGCATGCCTTGTGACTCTTTTTTTTTTAAACTAGGTATCAATATTATAATGTAGAAACTTGGGTAATCAGATTCTTCCCACTTCCCCCAGGGTTTGATTTTTAAGTTATTGATAGTCCTTTATTTTATTTACTTATATGCTGAGAATTGAACCCAGTTCCTCACACATGCCAGGCAAGTGTGCTACTTGCAGCCACTGAGCCCCAGCTCCAGCACCCTGATGTCTTTTATTATTCAAGGATTAACTTATGTTAAGCCAGTGTTTTGAAAGAGATTTCCTTGAATACCAACAAAACAAACTAGAACAAACTTTGCCCAGTTTTTGCAGAGTGGTTAGGTGCCTATTTACAGTTCTTCCTTGACCTTTACTTTTTGTTTATACTAAAACTAGAAAGCAGCCAGTAATGAAAGTTTATGGTCATCTTATGTTTTCCTGAGCATGTGTCTTGGACCTGGGCATGCATTTATGTGGCTTTTTTGTTTTGTTTATTGTTTTGCAGAGGAAGAGATAGAACCCAGGGCCTCCTGAATTCTAGGCAAGCATACTACTACTGAACAACACCCGAAATCCCTGCACGTGGCTTTTTAAATTCCCCTGTATACAATGGTATGCCGACTACCTTAATCCTCCCAAAAAAGGAACTTCTCAGGCCTTAGGAAGTCTACTGTATGTCTCACCATAATTTTTCACACAAAGTAAATGCAAGTTTTTCCATTGGCCACATGTCTTTAGTCAATATCCACTGTTTTTCCTCCCCAAAAGAGTTCTAAATCAAGTGAAACAGAACTATGAGCACCTGTAACAACCCTTTGAGTAGCTCTCTTATAGGTTAGAACAAGAAAACAATAATTTACAAATAAGGTCCATTTTATTACTTCTGGCACCAGGGACATTGCAAATGCGGACTATCTTCATGCCTGTTGTCAAGGTAGGAAGAAGGAAGGGTTCAGAAAAGTAAAAGTCACAATGCATTCCTTCCACTTTTTAGTTGCCCTTTTCATGGTTTAGTTTTCCCCTGGTTACTATAAACCTTTTACTGTTTTCCAAAGTTCTGGCAAAGTTGGATCTGATAATTCTCACTTGTTTTTCAATGTTTTTATGGAGGGACAGGGTTTTAGAGGTTCCTACTCCAATATTTTGCTGACATCACTTTAAATATTTGGTTTGAAAGATTAAAAAAACCTCACAGTATCATCAGATTAAAATTTACCAATGCAACACTTATTATCTTTACACCATTTTCAGCCTACAGAGACTCATTTCCAAAAATGCTGAGTTCTATTAAATTAGATTCAGGTGTGACAGACACATAAAATAGTAACTTAACAAATATAATTTATTGCATTTATTTAATGCTTTGCTATTGCTATCATTTGCTAGCTGGCAAATACAAAGTGATAAGAAAATATTAGGAAAACTAAAACAGCCTATTATTCTTAAATGCTTCTTCTCCTCTGTCCTAGATACATGATTATAGTTTTTGTTTTGTTGTTGTCATTACTGTTGGCCACACTGGGTATTGAACAAATGGGTGCTAAGTTATATCCTCAGCCCTTTTTATTTTTATTTTGAGATTTGGTTTCACTAAGTTGTCCAGGCTGGCCTTGAATTTATAATCCTCCTGTTTCAACCTCTCAAATGATGGGATTACAAGCATGTGCCACCATGAGCTGTTGATCATAGTTTTTTTTTGTTTTTTGTTTTTTTTCTTGCAGAGGGGGAGCAGTACCAGGGATTGAACTCTGTGAACTCGGGGGCACCAACAACTGAGCTACATCCCCAGCCCTATTTTATATTCTTTTTTTTTTAATATTTATTTATTTTTTTTAGTTGTAGTAATACTTTTATTTTATTTATTGTATGTGGTGCTGAGGATTGAACCCAGGGCCTTGCACGTGCTAGGTGAGCACTCTATCACTGAGCCACAACCCCAGCCCCCTATTTTGTATTCTTTAATTTAGAGATAGGGTCTTACTGAGTTGCTTAGCACCTCGCTATGGCTGAGGCTGGCTTTGAACTCCTGCCTCAGCATCCCATTACAGGCATGCACTACCACACCCGGCTTTGATTATAATTTTATAAGATGTACATATACGTTCCACTGGTAAAAACTGTTCCACTAGTAAAATTATTTGGGTAAAATTATATTTTATGGAAATATAAATACCAACATTACAAAGTGCTATTTCACAAATAAAATAGTTTAGTCAAAAATGGTCTTTTAGGTGCTTCACCGTAAGTTTAACATTAGTAAACAGAATCCAACACTTAAAATATTAAATTCTAGATCTCTAAGCAATTGATTTTCAGTCAAAGAATTCAAAAAGCACACACATTTGATATTTGCTAAAGTCAATCAAAATTATATCATTTGGGGCTGGGGACGTGGCTCAAGCGGTAGCGCGCTCGCCTGGTATGCGTGCGGCCCGGGTTCGATCCTCAGCACCACATACAAACAAAGATGTTGTGTCTGCCGAAAACTAAAACATAAATATTAAAATTCTCTCTCTCTCTCTCTCACTCTCTCTTTAAAAATAAATAAATAAATAAAAATTATATCATTTATGAAAAAACTATATTTTAGAGACATTATCGATAAAATATATACATATCCCCTTAAAATATTTGTCAGTTTGTACTGAAAAAACAGGAAAAAATTTTAGCTATAGAACCAACAATTCAGTGAATTGCTAAGTTACTGAGTTCAAGAGAAATCATTAACACAATAAAATTCATCAATTAAGAATAGCCCCATCCAGGCTTTTGCAACTTTACTTATATATCTTAAAAACTGTAAGTTGACTCAAAACATAATATGCTCCTAAGCAGGGTTTATCAAAATATCACTGAGTCATAAAATTAATTTAGTGAGTGGGTCAAGGCCAGCACTTATTTAACATAGTAACACAGAATAGATAATATTAATGTGCATTGCATATATGTGTTTTTTCATAAAACTATATTTCTATTTGATATTTTATTTATATATATATATACATATATATATATATATGCCATTATTTATTATACCCATAACACTATTCCATCAGAAGAAAAGAATCTAAATTAACCCTGCTACAGGAGACTCTTAAGGACAGGAAAATATTACTCTCTATGCTACAATGAGATTGCTATGTAAATACTAAAGAACAGAATTAGCTTAAGGAGAAAAATTTGTACTGTTTTACTATTTCTATCAGAAATATAATTTATATATACCTAATTCAGAAACCAGGAAAATCTAAAGCAAACCTCTAAACAGGTTAACAAGCTCAAAAACACCTTATATTCTAGGGAGGAGTTACATAATTAGTTTCACAGTAGTAAAATTCATAATACTTAAGCAGCACACTAAAGTTTTACTTCTTAAAGTAGCTATCATTCTATTTCAACCATAACTGTGATCTTATTGGTTTTCACAAATAATACTAGGAACACCCTCAGTAGTCTGCTAAACTAATCCCTATTTGTAAAATTTCATGAGATTTAAATACAGTTGAATTCAGTTCTTAATTCACAGAACTTTTAAAAATGTTTCAGGGTGAAATATAAATTGTTGAGAATTTCTATCAAGCAAATAAAATCATGCTACCTTCATGTATATGTCTCCATAAAACATTAATTTTTTAATACATTTTAAGAACTTCATGAAATGCTAGTGAATCGTCCTGTATATAGCAGAATCAATGATGAAAAATATTACAACAAGCAAAATTGTTATTGCACAATTTGTTTTTGCAATGACATAGGCTTCCTTATAAATTGATAATATACTTAATATGTAACCTGACACACTCAGTAGTTACCAATTAGGATAAATCTTCCCAAATTTCTTTTAATATTAAGCATTCAGTTAATTCGTCCGTAATGTTTAAATTTAAGGATCTTCATTTGTGAAATGAACAATCCACTCTGATCCATGAAATTCTAAATGTCATTTCCAAAGGAAGCATATTAAAAAAAAGTATATGTAAAGCTAATTTTAACTCAATTATTCGGTGATATTCAGATGATTACCATTTGTCTTCATTTTATGCTCTTCAATTTAGACTTCCATACTTAAATAATTTAAATCATGTATGTATGTATCTAGTAATATAAGAGAGAAATTAAGATTATTAAGATTATTTTTTTAGCCCTGTACGGTGGCACATGCCTGTAACCTCAGTGGCTCAAGAGGCTGAGGTAGGAGGATCACAATTTCAAAGCCAACCTCAGCAAAATCAAGGTGCTAAGCAACTCAGTAAGACCGTGTGGATAAATAAAATACAAAATAGGACTGGGGGTGTGGCTCAGTGGTTGAGGTGCCCCTGAGTTCAATCCCGTATACCCCTCCCCAAAAAAGCAGATTTTTTTTCAAAACCTTCTCTGACCCATGCAGGCACGCTGATCCACTTCTGCAATCTCAGCAATTTGGAAGTCTAAGGCAGGAGGATCACAAGTTTGGGTCTATTCTAGGCAACTTAGCAAGACTCTGTCTCAAAATAAAAAGGGCTGGGATATACCTCAATGGTAAAGAGTCTCTGGGTTTAATCCTGGGATTGTGGGGTAGGAGGGACACAGGGGTGCAACTTTTGCTGACCCAATCTGCATACTGTTACTTAAAGCAAATTAAAGTTAAAAAAAAAAAAACATAAATTAATAGAATGGCTGGTCACAGAAGCTCAGGCACTCACTAAACACATAACAAAGTTAATTTACTTATTGTAACTATGGCACTCTAATTTACTAACAAATAAAAATTCACTGGTATATAAAAAAGATGACTCATTTCATTCTCTGGGCATTCTTTTAAATACAACAACCTTTTAAAGTGTTGCTGCAAAACATTTTTAATTAATGAGTAAAATCATTCTACAAATGCTAAAATTTACCTGTTTGAGTCCTTCATCAGTAAGTTTGTCCTGATTGCCTACATGTACTTTCTGAAGTAAAGGACAGTGAGAGGCAACTGCAATAATAGAGGTGTCAGAAAGCTGTTTACACCTGTAGGCTGTATACCTAAGAAGTCCAGGACATTTGAATGCTAGAACACATACGCCAGTATCAGACATGCTGCGACAGTCAGAAATGTTGATTTCAATTATATTCTGACTTCTTGATGCAATTTTTTCCAATAAGTCATCAGTGACCTATGAGAGAAAAAAAGGAAATAAATTCAAACTTTTGCTAAAAGTAGAAAGTTCCTTTCTTTCATTTAATTTCCCACAATAAATTATCTAGATTATAGCAAAAAAAAAAACACAATCAAAAGAAAATCCTTAATGTTAAACAGTAAGAATTGAGGTGCCCCTGAGTGGCATAATAAAAAAAATTGTTGTCTCCAGTTTCTGGCACAGAGCTGCCGAAACCTTTGGAATTTCTTGAATGATAGTATCTTTTATTATGAAACAAGCCCCTTTAACCACACCTGAGTTTATAATAAATAATGAAGTGACTCAGAATGGGGCCCCTAGGGCTGGGATTGTGGCTCAGTGGTAAAGCACTTGCCTAGCACTCCTGAGACACTGGGTTCAGTCCTCAGCATCACATAAAAATGAATAAATAAAATGAAGGTATTGTGTCCATCTACAACTAAAAATATGTTTTTTAAAAAGGTGGGGGGGAGAGGGGCATGGCTAGAGATATAGCTCAGTTGGTAGAGTGCTTGCTTTGCATGCATAAGGTTCAATCCCCAGCACCACCCAAAAAAAAAAAAAAAAAAAAAAAAAAAATTGTGCCCCTAGATCCTTGAGATGATGGAAATGTTCAGTCCTACCCCCAGCATCCATCCTCCAGGGATGGCCTGGAGAATCTGCTATAAAAACTCTTTTAATAAGGAAATTCAAATAGTCTCCAATAGTGAACACATTGAAGTGCTGGGAGGATGGTATACTCCATACCTTGTCCTACACATCTTTTACATTTGTCTGGTCCTGAGTTGATATAAATATATTAAACAGCTGGGCAATGGGGAGGGTTAGAAAAATCAATCAAAATGTAAGTTTTAAAAAGTTATCTTAGCCCATTTTACTTCCATTTCCTCATTCATAATACAGGGGAAATACAAGTATCTCCTCATGGAATTACTGAGATAAATAAATGAATTGTATACATAAAAGCCCTCAGCCAGGCTTGATGGCACACCCCTGTAATCACTGCTACTTGGAGAGACTAAGACAAATTTGAGGCCAGCAGGGGCAATTTAGCAAGATTCTTGTTTCAAAATAAAAATAAAAAAGGACTGAGGAGGTAGCTAAGTGTCAGAGTACTTGCCTAGCATGCATAAGACCCTATTTTTGGTCCCAAATGAAAAAAAGAAAAAGAAAGAGCTTTCAGAATAGTACATGATACAAAGGCAGTCTATAAAAATGTTTGCTATTCTTTTCTACTATTAAAATAATATTTGTGATATAACTTCACACAAAAAAGGAAAAGTTTGCTAATGTTAAAAAGGTAATGAAAAAATGAAGAAGAATAAGAAGATTAAAAAGCAACAGAAGCTGAGGGTGGTGACACACACCTATTCTCCCAGATACTTGGAAGCCTGAGGCAGGAGGATTCCAAATTTGAGGTCAGCCTAGACAACTGAGAGAGACCCTGTCTCAAAATAAAATTTTTGAAAAGAACTGGGACATTGCTCAGTGACAGAATGCTTGCCCAGCATGTGTGAGGCCCTGGGTTCAATCCCGAGTACTGAAAAAAATAAATAAAAAAAAAATAGGCAACCCAAAATGGCCAATCTACATCAAAAGCAATCTTGTTCATCATGAGAACATAGCTTTAACTTGAATTAAAAGAAAAATTAAGAAAGTACAAAATTTTAGGTTACAGTCATTAAATGATCCTGAAAAACAACATGGAAGAGATTTTTGAAGAAGAATAAAGATTTTTTAAAGTTGGTGGGTCAGATCATTTCTTAAGTTTCTTAAAATTAGATTACATACCTGCTGACGACTACTAAGATCCAGTTGCTTCCAAAACTGGAAATCTAAACAAAGATCGCGCCAGTACTTGCAAACCAGTGATGCAGAAAGGCAACGTTCATCCAGGGACAAATTGGAAAATATCTGTGAATAAAAAAGGAACAATATATGTACTAAACATTTTCAAGGCTTAGAAAAAGACCTTTATTAAGTTAGAAAAAAATAGCTTAAATGTTTAAAACAGAAAACCATCTTTAATACCAGTGGCCATTATTGGAAAAGTCATTGTTAAAGATTGCCCTAGTAAGGAAGTATGTACATAAACTGTTATCTTCTGTGTAAGGGCAAAAGAGAACAGGGGGATACTAGCATATATGTACCAAGATATGCATGATTCTGTGTTTGCTTATTGTCTTTTGGAAAGTTAAACCATAAACTAATAAAAAAAATGCTTATTTTTAGAGAAAAAGGGCAGATATATGAAAATAAGATTGCTTAGAAGTTTTCTAGTTTGACCTTGAAACTACATAAATTTTTAATAAATGAAAAGAAAAACAAAAGCAAATCATAAACACACACACACACACTACTTCTATGTTATCTCACTGGGTATATGGAAAGTCAACACTAACCTAATCCTAAGAGAAATATATACATCATATATGAGACACACTACAAAATACCTGATCAGGACTCCTCAAAAACTTCCAGGTCATGAGAAGTTTTTATCTGAGAAACTAAATAGTTCAAAGATTAAGGAAAAATAACAACTAATGCAGTCCTGAATTGGATCCTGGGACAGAAAAGGACATCAATGGAAAAACTGATAAAATCCAAATAAAGACAAGTTTAATAGTCATATAGCAGTGCTGGTTTCATAGTTTTGGCAATTGTATAGAAGTAATGTAAGATAAAAAAATTAGGGGAAATAAACTGGGTAAGGAGTACAGGGGAACTCTCTGTACACTTTTTTATATTTATACTCTTTTTATAAATCTAAAATTACTCCATATCAAACATGATGTTATTCACCCAATATACAAAATAAAACAAAATTATCCTAAAATTAAAAAACTACTTTAAGCAAATTTTTTAAATTACAATTACAGTTACTGTTACAGTCAGTCAGGGTTAGAACCAATACAGATTTATGAAAATCAAGAGTTATATGGCTGGGCAGGGTGGTGCATATCTGTAATCCCTGCTACTTGGGAAGCCAAGATACGAAGATCTCAAGTTTGAAGTCAGCTGAAGCAACTTAGCAAGACCCTGCCTTCAAATTGAAAATAAAAAGGACTGGCCATAGACTGCTCCTGGGTGCAATCCCCAGGACTGAACACAAAAACCAAAAAAAAGTGTATCAACTGTGTGGATGGAGAAACACTCAATAGAACCAACTATAACAAGATATATCTGGACAATCCGATAAAACTGAATGAACATAAAGTAGATATTAGATGATGTAAAAAAAATTACTTTTCACTTTTTAGATTGTAGTTATATTAAAATGGCTATATTCTCTTTAAAAAGCTATTATAACTTTAGATACTTTAGTGTTTATGGCTGAAATGATATACCCAGAATATGCTTTTAGATTCTTTATTGAAAACAAAAAATGTTGGCAAAACATAAAACAAAAAAGAAGTTAAACTGGGTAAAGAACAACTGGGGATCCAACATACCATTCTTTGCTTTGGTTTATATATGAAAATTTCCACAATATTAAGTAAAAATTTTAAAGAGAACATAGACTCTTGCTGGGAGCCATTAGCCAAGTAGGTATGACAATTTCCTTGCCAGCGTACCCCATGTTGCTGACATGTTGCAGCGACATTGAATGTAGGTGACCTTGCTCAAGGACCAGGGCGGATTAGGGTGTTCCGGGTTTAAGATAATCGTGTTTAGGGTGTTCCCAGTTTAGGTTCCAGGTTTAAGGTTTAAGATTATTCCTCCTGGGAATAGGGCGTATCCTGCTGCCTGAGTTCCCCTTGAGTTCTCACGGGATTCAGACAGTATATTTTGGAGATAGAAGCCCAGTGGAGGTGGATTTGGGCAGAGAACGTGATTTTGGGCAGAGAACGTGGATTTCCCCAGAACGTGATTGTAGACGGCTGGTGTGAGTTCGGGAATAAAGAGTTGCTGTTTGAATCTACAAGCTGTGTGGTGGCTCGTGATTGTGTGCCCAGCCAGACTGTGGCAGACTCTTAATATATTGCCTTATATTAGTAGATGGGGAAAGCCATGATCCAAACCTATCTATATAACCTTGGGTAAATTATCTAACCTCTCTGTGCCTCAATTTTCTTTTTTAAATATTTTTTAGTTATATATGGACACAATATCTCTATTTTGTTTATTTTTGTAGTGCAAAGGATCAAACCCAGTCCCTAACATGTGCAAGGGAAGTGCTCTGCCACTGAGCCATCACCCTTATCTTTCAGATAGGAAAAATAAGGCATTTACAGAGTAGGGTTATTGTGAAATTAAAGAGTATGGATAAAATTTCTGGAAAAGTGTCTGGAACAACATATGTAATAAATAATTTCATAACCATGGCCTACATGACTTACCTCTGTACAATCAAAAGTTGTACACAGCTAAGCTAGAATATCTATTATGTTTAAATCTTGATTAAGCCTTGGAAAAACAAAGGCCTTCTCTTCATAAGTATTTTCTCCCAAAATGATCTAGTGAGATGTAGAGAATATATTTAAGAATCACCTAATGAATGTGCCTCCAACACCAACAAAAATGGAATAAGACTACAAGAAAATCTTACCTGTACTACTCTGAAGTAAAACTTCTGGACTACAACATATTAAAAACTACCACCTCAGGATTCTAAAAAATTAATAATAGATAGAATGCAGAGGGAAGCAAAAATATGAGGAATGACCAATCAGAGGAATAAGCTTCCTGAGTTTGTTTTGTTTTTTCCTTTTATTCCCTAATGCGTGTAGCCCATGTGTAGAACTATACTACAGGCATATCCAACAAAATTCAGAAAACACCATCTTTCTAGACCAGGAGAATGATGCCTCTGCAAGACAAAAAGTAAGAAGAGTCTGCCTTTTGTATTGTTTCCCTTTTCTCTCTACTGGTCATATCCCAAATGTTTCCTCATTAACAGAGTGCAATGTGGCTGCTGTGAAGGAACCTTAAACCTTAAAGGTAAAGCTATATTTCTGGACAAGTGAACTAAGAAAGGGAACTCTGTGATCGAAAGAGTATACAAGGATTCACTACTTTTTTCTTACCACCTTGAAAGCAGCCTCAGTGATGCAAAACTACAAAGCAGCCTAGGTGGCTGTATCTGAGAGAAACTTCATTTCCCTAGTCTTAAGTTTTACTGGAACATAGCCCTGCACACTCATTTTTGCATAGCTGAATGCCCCAAAAAAACTATTTACAAAAATTGGTAGATTTGGCACCTCAGGGCTATACTTTGTGACCCCTTCTTTATAACATGTGCACTTAGAGTTATAAATTCCTTTTAACCACCACTTTAGTTTGCATCTCATAAATGTTAATGTTTTTCACTTTCATACAGTTCAAAATATTTTCTAAGTTTCCTTGTGAAATCTTCCTTGATGAGTGTTTTTTTGTTTGTTTGTTTTTAGTACTTGGGATGAACCTCTAGGTACTTTTTCACTGAGCTACATCCTTAGCCCTGTTCATTTTTTATTTTGAGACAGGATCTTGCTAAAATACTGAGGCTGATCTCAAACTTGCAACCCTCCTGCCTCAGCCCAAGTCACTGAGATTATAGGAATGCATGAATGGGTTATTCAAAAGTGTGAGAGGATATCAGTGAAAACAACAGAAGAGGGAATTCCAAAAATCTGTTCCTTCACAGAAAAAAAAAAAAAAAGAATAAATTTTCAAAAACTGTCAAGATCGATTAAAAATTTTAGGAGCTAATGAAAGGTTTACACCTGAACTGCCACGTTACAACTTCACACTGTCCACTTTAAAATACATATAAAATATAAAATGTATTATAGTTGTATGTACGTACATACATTCATATTTGTACATATATACAAATTCATGTGTGTGTGTGTGTGTGTGTGTATACATTTATACATGAGAAACATTCAAAGAACAAGAAAGCATGACCCATCCACATGAAAAAAAGAAATTAACAGAAACTACCCAGGAGGAAGCCCAGATATTGGACTTCTGAGACAAAGTTAAATAAACAATTAAGATATGCTCAAAGAGCTAAAGGAAACCATGTGCAAAGAACTAAAGGAGGGCTGGGAATGCAGTTCAGTGGTACAGCTCTTTTCTTGTATGCAACCCCCAACAATGCAAATAAAGAAAGAAAGAAAGAAAGAAAACCATGAGAACCAAATAGAGATGTCTCATTAAATAGAAAATACTTTAAACAGTAGAAATTATGAAAATAAATCCAATAAAAATTCTGGAATTGAATCATACGATAACTAAAAATGTGTTACAGGGATTCAACAGAAGATTAAAACAGTCATTAGTGTTATATAAATGCGCCAAAGATGACCTTGTGTATTACCCCTAGGTTATTTATTCACTGCAGACTGAGACTCAAAAGCCCACTTGTGCTAAACTCAAATTTTTACATGTATAATCATCTTCAAAAAAAGCCCAAAAGGCAAAATTTTACTCATTTAGAGCCTGCCTGCTTGGCACAGCCTATGAACCCTCACCTGACTACTGCTACCTATTAAGACAGTTTTAAGGACTAGAGGACCTCACTGGTAATAAGTTTTAAAAAGAATTAAGACCAATCCATCTTAAATTCTTCTAAAAATTAAGATGACAGAATGCTTCCTAACATTCTATAAGGTCAGCATTATCCTGACACCAAAGCCACACCAAAAAAATCACAAGAAACTATAGACCAATATCCTTTATGAACGTAGATGCAAAAATCTTCAGTAAAACATTAGCAAACTAAATCCCTACAACAGAGTAAAAGAAGAACTATATATACCATGGTTGAGGGTGATCCATGGGTAGGGAAAAAATAATCCATGTAACACACCATATTAACAAAATGAAAGTTTTAAAAAACAAGAACAAAAAAAATTGATCACTTCAACTAGTACAGGACAAAGCCTTCAACAAAATACAATACCCTTTCTTGATTCAAACACAGCAAA